GTTTTGTTTTTTAAATATATTTTCATTGATTTCAGAGAGGAAGGGAGAGGGAGACAGAAACATCAATGATGAGAGAGAATCATTGATTGGCTGCCTCCTGTATACTCCCCACTGGGGATCAAGCCCTCAGCCCGGGCATGTGCCCTGACCAGGAATTGAACCGTGACCTCCTGGTTCATATGTCGACACTCAAGCACTGAGCCACACCTGTCGGGGTTTTTTTGGTCACAAAGCCAGAAAGTGGCAGGTCTGGAATTCAGCTACATCTTACACAACATGCCGAACAGCCTCTGGCACAGAACAGGCCCTTGGTAACATGCTGGTTAGAAATGTGGGTTTACCCTCTAGGCAGGTTATCTCCTGTGGGATTGTGTTACTAGCCTATTGCATTAAAACGTAGGCGGGTCATATCCTTGTAAAAATTCCTTTCCTTCTGGCTGATTCATCTCTTAATGCCACAGCTCTTACCTGTCAAAGGATTGCCTTCTCCCTGGGGGCTGGGCCGGCTCAGGAGAGCCCGCTGTGCAATCTCTCCCGGCTCCACGCTCAGCGACAGCAGGGAGTGTTTGTTTACAGTGCACACTGGACGGTGGCTCCCCAGCCTGTTGTCCACTGGCACGCCTTGTTTCTAATTCTGTAATTCTGGTTCAGAATAAGCGCGTCTATTCTTAGCACCAGACACCTGCTGGTCTTCATCTCCTGAACAGGGGCAGTTGTTACCCAGCAGTTTACTTGTATGCCTCAGGGAAGTTTAAGTGCATCTGAAAGGGTACAGGAATGACTTAACTTTTTTTTGCTTTTAAAAACTAAGTGTGGGATTGGATGGTGATAGGGACAGGAGCCTCTGTAGCCCTGAGGACCAAGTACAGGATAAGAGGCCCCAGAACTAAGGAAGCTGCTGCAGATCACCTGGGCAGCCTCTCTCCTTGGGCGACTGCAACACTGGACACTTCTGAGCACCACGTCTTCCCTGGGCTGTGGACGGCGGTCCAGGTTCTCCCTGCCTCTCAAACAGCCCTTTCTCTTTCCTTCGGTCTCTCTGTCACTGTGGGGTGTGTTCCCCATCGTCCTACTATTACAGTAGTCTCCAAACGCCCCTGCTTCCAGTCTCCCCCACTGGGGTCTGGAGATCCTTACCAGAGAGCGTGGCTTAAGATTCCACTCTTATTTTGCCACGATCCCTACTCAAACCCTTTGGCAGCATCCCGCTGACAATAGCATAAAACCCAGCTCCTTCGGCTGAACTGCGGGGCTCCTTGAGCTGGCTCCAACATGCTTTTCTTTTTTCTTAAAAAAAAAATTTTTTTTAAGTGATTTTTTTTTTTTTTGAGACAAAAAGATTTGGTGTTCCACTTAACTCATGCATTCATTGGTTGCTTCTTTTTTTTTTTTTAATATATTTTATTGATTTTTTTACAGAGAGGAAGGGAGAGAGATAGAGAGAGTTAGAAACATCGATGAGAGAGAAACATCAACCAGCTGCCTCCTGCACATCTCCCATTGGGGATGTGGCCGCAACCCATGCCCTTGACCGGAATCAAACCCGGGACCCTTCAGTCCCCAGGCCGACGCCCTACCCACTGAGCCAAACCGGTTTCGGCCATTGGTTGCTTCTTATATGTGCCCTGACGGGGGATCAAACCCATAACCTTGGGATATCAGGATGACGCTCTAATTAACTGAGCTCTCCGGGCAGAGCCCCAACATAGTTTTCTGACTTCGATTCAATTCCCCCAACACATTCTCCCTGCTACTCCCTCCACGCATCTGAACCTGCCCGTCCTTTAAGGGTGAATGTAAGTCCCTTCCTGTGGGCAGCGTGGCCTCAGGGTCACAGGGGCCCGCAGTGCCTCTCCCTGTCGGAATCCTGGGGCCCTCGTGTCCTGTTCCTTGACGAGACATGGAGCAGAAGGGAAGTGACCTTTATTGACCACCTACTGTGCCTCTGGTCTGGTCACTTCTTACAACAGCACTTTTAGGTGGCCGTCTCCATTTGGATGTGGACTTAGGGAGTAGCAGTGGCAGAGCCGGAGTTCAGTCTAGATGTGTTTCCAGGGCCTCCTCCAGCACATTGCCTCCTGGGCTCTGGCTGGCCTGGCAGTGTGACGTCAGCCCTCCCAGGTGTGCTCGTTGCTCCTGGCATCACACATTCCCCGTGCAGACACAGTATCTGAGCACACATCGAGCTTCCAGCAGTTCCCTGTGTGACATTAGGGTCAGCCCTCAGGAGAGACCGGAATGCGCGATGACTGAGAAAGACGAGCTGTGAGCACTGCATGCGGAGGCCCCGCTCTGTACAGGCTCCTTCCTGTCTTCCCCAGAGACAGGACCAGGGCATGCTGAACCCTGGGTCATTTCCGACCACCCACATGGCTTGTTGCCTGTGAGGACCGACTGCCTCCCGAGTATGTCTGAGGACATGGATGGCGCCGTCCTCAGCACCTTTCTTTCTGTCCAGGGGCCTGGGAGGCTCCTGTGAGGATGAAGAAGCTAATGAGAATCTGTTGGGCGCACAAGGCTCCCTGCACACCTATCTCTGAATACCCTGAACAGTGTCCTGGGCAGGCGCTTCTCCAGCCCCTTTCTCAGTGCGTGTTGTCCTCGTGAGTGCCCGGAGCCCTGCAGAGTGGACGGGCCTGGTCCCTGCAATGATACTGACATGGTGATGTTAGGTGATCCTAGTATTTTTGCCAAATCAGAGACCGGTGAGGAAGTGTGCCTGCAGCGAGGGCGGGGCTCAGAGCAGACGCTGGTTTCACCTGCACTTTCTTCCCCTCGCCTGCCTCTCCCCTCCAGCTGGTCGTCCAGTGGCTCTGCGGAGACCAGTGTTCTTACTGGCTAGCTTCCTCACAGGAACCTTACAGGGAAACGCTGTCCCAACAGCCAGGAGAGTCTCTACCACAATTTCAAGAACTAGAGACTCTGATGTGGGAGCCATAGGAGACAGCGGAGAGACACGTAGGCCACAGAAACAGCAGCAGATGTTGGCTCTGCCACTTTGTGTCAGAGCAGCTCAAATCCCGAAAATTCCCCACACCGGGCTTCTTTGGAGACTGCAAGTGACAGCTGCTACAATGTGAGGGTCGTGTTCTCATCTTCGCAAAATGGGAGGGATTCATGTTCCACAGCTGACCTACTCTGTCTTACTGTATTGACCATGACTGGGTGTGGCCGGAGGAAGAGTCAGAGACAGGAAGTTGTGCTGCCTGAGGATCCCATGTGCCAGACAAGGTGCCCTACACACCCACCTCAGTAACTCCTCACCTCAGCTCTGCGTGTTCACAGCTGCTTTCTCCGTTTTCTGTGTACGGGACGGGGACACAGGAAAATTCAGTCCTTGCCCAGCATCATAGCTATGAGGTACTCAAGCCAGATCTGAATGCAGAACTCGTGCTTGTTCCATTATAATATGCTACAAAGAACTTCAAGACGAAGGAGTCTTAAGGAGATAAGGGATAAAGAAGCCCAAACACGCCCTCGCTGGTTTGGCTCAGTGGATAGAGCATCAGCCTGCGGACCAAAGAGTCCCGGATTCGATTCCGGTCAAGGGCATGTACCTTGGTTGCAGGTTTCTTCCTGGCCTGGGGCCCTGGTCAGGGCTCCTGCAGGAGGCAACCAACTGATGTGTTTCTCTCACATCGATGTTTCTCTCTGTCTCTCCTTCTCTCGTCCACTCTCTCTAAAAATCAATGGGTGAAAATTAAAAAAAAAAAAAAAAAAAGCCCAAACACGTCTGAATGCTCCCTGGCCTCAGGAGTTTAAGTCTCCCAGCATTGTCCCAGTAAAGTCATTTCACCTCTGTATTTGGAGTTTCTCCAAGAGGAGATCTAGCCCCTAACCTTGCATGTGTATTTGTTTGCTGTTTGAAATTTTGCATCATTAGCACGAAGGTGGGAAATTGCAGTCCTCTGTTCTTGAAACACCAAGTTAGAGTAATGACTGAGACGCCTGTTGACCTCCCATTAGCTCATCACGGGAAGGACCAGACTGTTCGAGGGGACTTCCGCAGGGGATAAATAACCCTTGAACCCCCAACTCCCACTGTCAGGGCCCAGCTCTCAAACTGTCAGCAGCAGTTTCAGAGAGCCAGCCAGTGACCATGTGGCCTGAGGCTCTGTTATCGTTGCCTGGAAATTTGAGCTGGCCGTGTCCCTGAGTTGAGGCTGCTCACTTTTAATTGAAGCATTAACAGTCGAATCTCACACGGTGGGATCAGCAGCAGAGCGAGATGAGGGCCTTAGGTTGGCAGGTTAGTGGTGGACTGCCTCTTTAGGCAGCTGACTTGGAGTGTGAAGGACTGCTCTCCACCCCCTCCCTTCCATCACCTTCACTGAGCTCCTGATTGGGGGAAGCCTGGCATGAAACTGTTTGTACTTCTCACATGGGGGCATAGACTTGGCTTTCCTTTACCCCCCAGAGCTTGTCATTGCAGCCTATTTATGCCTCTGCCTTTGGGCATCAACATTATTTTAGGATAGCCTCTCCCTGCCTTCTATGGGTACAAACTCATTTTATTTTTTACTTAGAGGCCTGGTGCATGAATTTTTGCACAGGTGGGGTCTGGCCGTCCCATCCCAATGGGAGCCGATCAGGGCCGGCCAGGCGGCAGTGGGGAGAGGATGTGGGAGGTGTGCCAGCGGTGGGGGCTGGGGGGCACAGGATGTCGGCTGGCCCCATCCCTGATGGGGGGT